CTCCACCCCGGGTTCCCATCCTGACCCGGGCTCCCATCCTGACCCCGCACCTGCAGCGGGCTCCACCCCGGGTTCCCATCCTGACCCGGGCTCCCCACACCCTCCCGGGCAGCTGGTTTCCACCCCACGCGAGCCGCCACCTACCTAGCATGCTGGGCTCGCCTCCCAGCAGGGACAGGATGTACTTGTTGAGGAAGAGTGTGCAGAAACTGAAGAAGAACCACAGCGTGAGGTAGAGCAGCGCCCGTGAGCTCCACACACCCAAGTCTGACTCGATGACCGTGGTCTCCGTGATGGTGACAGTCAGTACGTTCTCATCCACGCCACCGTCGCTCTTGGCAAAAACAATCTTCTCACTTCGGTGACCAAACAGAGAGCCCCAGCTGAGAGGCGACTTGCCTTTAGGCTTCTCCTCAGAGCCAGGAGCGAGCTCTTCCAGCGCCGGGGTTTTCACCGTGGACGACATGCCGAAGCCACCGCCAGGAACGATTTTACCTTCAGGCTGGGCAGCATGGGTCACCGGGACCGCCTGGGGGTGGGGCCGCAGCAGGGACTCCAGGCGCCAGGAACGAGGCCACCAGGGCCTCTCCCAGGCAAAGCGCAGAAGCAGACGCTAAAATGGTAAGAAAGGGAAACATATTACCCGTTTTGAACATTCACTGTCCTCAAAGGTTTCAACCACCAATTTAAAATTACTCTGAAAATGCAATTGGACCAGGCACGGTGGCTCACACCTGTAATCCCAGCACTTTGGGAGGCCGAGGCAGGTGGATCACCTGAGGTCAGGAGTTCAAGACCAGCCTGGCCAACACAGTGAAACCCCGTCTCTACTAAAAATATAAAAACTAGCCAGGCGGGGCCGGGCGCGGTGGCTCACCCCTGTAATCCCAGCACTTTGGAAGGCCGAGGCGGGCGGATCACAAGGTCAGGAGATCATAGCCATCCTGGCTAACACAGTGAAACCCCGTCTCTACTAAAAATACAAAAAGAAATTAGCTGGGCATGGTGGCGGGTGCCTGTAGTCCCAGCTACTTGGGAGGCTGAGGCAGGAGAATAGCTTGGACCCAGGAGGTGGAGGTTTCGGTGAGCC